ACACACTAACTGCAAAGACTCCCATTTTGTGCTTCGCACATGGGAGTCAAAAATGGATAAAAGTTGATATTTTTTTTTACTCAAGTGGCTCAATTTATTCATCAAAATAATTCAAGAACTGTAATATAGTATTTGTACACAGTATTTGAGTTGATGTAAATATAAAAGTGCTAAGAATTTTCTTTGAAATGTTTGATTGGTATGCTAATTAGAACGTCGTTAAAATGTGTGTGTGAACAGAATACGTCGTTGTGGCGTCTGCGTTTTTGACACTGTCGTAAACGGGGTGGACCAGATCCTAAACGCCGTTGTCACGCCGGCTTTTGCACAACGCAATGTCATTTTGGGATGAACAACATGAAATATTAGGTGGAAGGCCAGCATTCAACCCTCAAACACCAGTGTTTTTACTAAGTGGGAACGCGAGCAGACAATTCAGCAGATTATCTAATATTTGCACAACAAAAAAACAGTGTTAACACCAGCTTTTTTAGACATGTGAGAATGTAGCTATTAAAGTAAAACCCAGTGAATAATTAGTTTAGTTTTCACTTTCTTTGAGCAGCATTCCACAGCAGCTTTCACAGAGCTCATAGAAATACATGGTACAGTAGTGCATGTCTTAGAAATATAGAACGTTCTGTAATATAGGTCTGGCCGAAGAACTATTTATAATTAAACATACCTGAGTTTCTAATTCTCCAAGTTTTCACAAAGGCAGTGTTGGGTGGAACGGATTCTCCTTCTCCTATAGTAATATCTTGTACAAGTGACATAGTCGGTAATTTACATTGAGGACTTTCAAAATCGTAATATGAACATACTGCTGCTTGTAGATTCCTAATAAATGAAAACACACAATAGTAAATAACTACATAAATTAGGAAACACAATGTGACATTCAGGAAATAGACATGGGTTGTTCCCTAATAGAACAAGATTAGGTTGTTCATGTTAATACCGGTAGTAAAACTTGCCACCTACTTGAGCTTTTCAGACAATTTCCTCTGATAGGTAAAAACTTAGTAGCTGCATACAATTAAAGAAAATTTGGCTTCAATCTTGATTTAGTAAACCGTTTCATTTCTACATGTACGCTTTTGTGTATCAGTGCAGTTTATAGTTATCATGGGTGGTGAAATTATGTATCAAACGAAATTAAATTTTATATGTGTAGTATGGGGTAATTTTTATATCTATTTGGAAAAAGTAAAGAGGAACTCTTGCCATCTAGTATTAATAGTCTCACAGCTGATACATGGACTATCTGCTCATGAAAACAATGTGGATGCAAATACAGTCAATGTCACTCAATCACTGATATTAACCAATCAAGCAAGACTGCAGAATTATGTTTTAGCTTTATCAAATATCTATTTCAGACACCCGCTCAAACATGAATAGAAAAATCTGTTGCATTTCATCCTGCTTCCCAAAGCGTACCTGCTCCCATTTATTTTCAACATCTCAGCACATCAATATAATGTCAGTGTTGACAAGTTTTTATTCATAACAAAATAGCACTGAATGAACTGCTGTACATTACATAACTACTTGTATACTACTACACAAGACCAGTATGATCATTAGTATAATTGACAACATACATGTGTACTAAAATCAATCTAGCTACTCTATTAATTTAACTTGTGTGTTAATTCATTTACTACACAGTATTCTCTGAAAATAAAATATGAATGTATTTGTAAGGTGAAAAATAAAGTGAGAAATAAATAAATTACATGGTACACATTTTAAAATTCAAAGAGCCCTTACTTTATTTACATACACTGTGCATATAATTATAGGTTGTTTACGGTGCAGAGTGCCATTATATGTCAACTCGTTCACAAAGCGACAGAAAAATAAGTCGTCAGGTCACTACCGCCAAATATCCGATTTTTGAATGAGGACAAATGTGACGACTTATTTACTCTCTAAAACGGTTGATACGACTCATATTTGTTAATTCACAACGCCGAAGGTGGCCGTCGTGTCTGCTAAAGTATATTGTTCACAAAGCTTTGATCAAACAATGGCCTTCATTCTCAAAATAATAACCATTGTGGTCGATCTATCCACAAGAAATAAGGTAATTAAAATCGACAATAATAACAACAACAACATGCAAATACTTGCCAATTATTCATGTCTAGAAAGAACGCACAGCCTGCAGGATTGAGTTGATTCCCCAATAATTTCTGAAATTCGCTTATTAGAACTTCTTTATCTGTCGTTCCCATCGAACTGAACTGTTGCAAAAGATCTTGGTCTAACTCGGAATCGACCTCCATGGTTTTGCAAGAAATGGCTAATGTCACAAAAAAATAATTAACAGAGATCGTAACAGGAAGACTAGCAAGCAACTCCAAAACTGTCAGTTCGCCATAATTGATGACGTCACAATAAAGCACTACGCGTGCGTGGTACCATTGCCCACAATACATAGCGATGCGCTACTTGTACTTATACAGTTAGCCGCTTGGTGGCGAAGTACTGCAGCCGTTTTGTTGGGGGTATTTTCGTAACCTGTAATCTATTGTTTTTATTTTCGTAATAATGTAATTTAAATAAATAAAAACACGTAAATTCGTAGATATGGCCAAGGTGTGAAATGTAATCAGCTTTTTTATTCGTCCGCAATTTGTACAAGAATCTTATTTTTGTACAAAGCATATAAAGCATTTTCCAAAATAAATGTCGTAATTCGTACGCAATTTCCAATTTTGATTCTTAAACACAAATTATCAAATATATTATAACAATGTAAAATGTAAAATTTGAAATTTGCTTTATCTGTAAAGTGTAAAAACCCAATTGTTATTGTAAATGGAACTTCATTTTATTTCCTTTAAAAACGTAAAATGCCTTTTTTATTTCCAGTAACCTGTAACAGCTACCCCCTCCACCTTATAGGGGTCGCATTGTACCGTGGGGTCCATGATTATACTGACTCTCCATAATAAATACTAGTAATACACTTAACAAGAATGTATTATTCTACAGATAATGAATCGTGTACTGCAAATCAAATAGTCAGTAAGCTAAACCACATCACACAATCAGTTATCTACGTATTTTTATATTTAAAAAACTTATTTATTCTTATTTTGTCATATATTTTACTGTTTTTTATTTATCAATTGTTTAGGTTAAATGTGACTGTGAGCGCCACAGAAATCCGTATCTATGGCCTGAAAACCATGTTAAAGTTGCATTTCCACACTGCATGATTTCCAACAATAAATAACGCAAGTCGTGCGAACATCAACATTGCATATATACAAACAACCATTGACTGATTGCACATATTCTCTATATTTGTATAAATATGTATAAATTGTACTAGTACTTGAATCCAACCAGCCAACCAAGTCCAGGCTTATCTAATATCGATCTAAAAACTAGATAATTCCGATAATTCCTGACCTCAGAAATCTTGGCTATAACCCAAGCCCCTGCATATTGAATATCGATCGAAAACTTGATATAATATCGATCTAATTAACAGATAACGAATATGCAATATCATATATGCGTAAATCGTTTTACCGGTACAATGAAGATTGTAAACCACACCCTTGTATTCATAAGGCAATTGTAAACCACGCCCTCGTATTCCTATGGTGAATGTAAAACCACATAATGCATTTCA